GTCGCCGTCGGCCTCAGGGCCCCGGCTCGGCCCTAGCGAAAACCCGACGACGCCGCCGCGACGAACTCCTCGAGCTCCTGCTGCTCCTCCGCCGTCATCCCGTCGTCCTGCTCCGCCGTCACCATCACGTTGACCTCAGCCGTCTGGATCCTCCTGCCGCCCTCGTTCGTCATCTCGCACAGGTTCAGCTGGTAATGGCCGCTGGCCGCGACCCGGAGCGGCACCGTGACGTTGATCCGGGCGAACCGAATCTCGTCCCGCTCCATGTCCAGCTGCGCGCCAAGGGCCTTGAGCATGGGCGTGCTCACCAGCAGCGGGGTCCCGCCTGGGACGACGCACAGGCGGAGCACCAAGATGCGACCGCCCACTCGGCACTGTATCTCCGCGGTGTAGATCGACTCCAGTGTCTCCTGGTTGCCGAAGCGGAAGGTCGTCGCTTTCGCCTGCTTGATCGTCTTCACCGCGAGACCTGCTTTCTCCATCTCCACCTTGTGCTCCTTGAGAGTCTTCTCGCCGATGACTCCCTTGCCGCACCCGGTGTCGACCACGCCCGACCCCGGCTCGTGCGCTGACGCCGTCAGCACCTCTGGCAAGTCCTCGTCCTTGGGCACCGCGGTCAACCTGCGGTACGCCTCGATCACGTCGTCCGTGTCGTCCCTCGCCGCCGTGTACGCCTCGTACAGGTCGTCTATGTCCTGATCCTCGTCCTCCTCGTCGACCGCCAGCTCGCAGTCGCGCTCGTCGTCGCAGCTGCAGCTGCCGCCGTGCAGGGGCCGCTGGAACTCGTCCTCGCACACGTCGCACTCGAAGGTCTCCTCCTCGTCGACGTCCTCGGTCCCGCCGTCGCCGGCCACGAAGACGCCCTCGTCCGAGTCACTCTCGAAGACCGTGACCACGTCGCCGCGCTTCTCGCCGTCCTTGCCCTTGTGCTTGTGGTCCCGTGGGGGCGGCCGGCGTTGACGTCGTGGTTTCTTGCAGTCCCTGCTGAAGTGACCGACCTCGTCGCAGTTGTAGCATCGCACTCGTTTCGCCATCGCCTTCGTGTCCGGCTTCTTCGGACCGAAGCCCCGAGCCAGTTGCTCCTTCGTTATCTTGTTGCGCTGATCGCGCCAGGACACCAGTATCTCGATGGCCTCAATCACGTCGAAGCCCGCCAGCAACGCCGTGATGTCCTCGACGTCGTCGCTCTCGTCGGCCTCCTCCGCCACGTGCGCTCCGAACGCCTTCGACTGCTGGCCGAAATCCGCCGAGCCGTTGGGGTAGGTCGTCCTGAGCGCCATCGCCACGTCCTTCTCCTTGTACGATCGGCCCGACGCCGCCAGGACGACCGCGAGGTTCTGCGGCGCCAGGTGCACTCCCAGCAGCAGCAGGTACCCGCGCGCCATGTCCGGCAGCACCACGCCTTCAGCCTCGCCCTTGGCGAACGCCGCCTGGGCGCGTCCGCAGTAGGCCGCCATCGACTCGCCCCTGGCCAGGCGAATCGTGAACACCTCCTTCAGCGCCTCGCCGAGCCTGTCGTGGGCTGCCACGTCGGGGAAGCGTGAATCAAGTGTCTCGAAAATGTGCTGCTCGCCGCCCTCTTGCTCCAGATCGTCCATGTCGACAACCTCCAGCGCTCGGGCGGCGACGTCGTCTAACAGCGTGAAAAGCATCGGCCCCAGGGCCGTCGCAGGCGTCCCCTTCGCCTTCTGCACGATGAGGTACGCCCGCGCCCATTTCTTCCAGGATCGGTAGTCCCGAAAAGCGTCGGTTCCATTCCCGGCGAACCTCCTGATCGCGCCGCCGGGGCCCCCGTTGTCCGTGTTCATCACCTCCTTGTAGCGTCCCGCCGGCACTCGCCTGAGTGCCTCCCGGTGCGACAGCGCCTGCTATCGCGCGGCACGCTCCGCGCTACCAATGCAGATGGGCTTCGAGGAGGGAGCACCCGCGCCCTCTTTTCCACTCCTGTGGCAAGCCAAAATGCTGCAGCATCAAGACGCACGCGCACAACTGAGATTGTCATTCCAAGGCCTCCCCGGGCCCTGAGATTAGCACATAGGGAGCTCCACCCAAGGCCCAACTGGTGTCGCCCACATGCGTCCCCGCCACCCGTTTCGGCACACCGCTTACACGTTTCGTGGCCCCATAGGGAGCTCCATTCAAGGCCCCATTTGGTGCCGCCCACATGCGTCCCGCCAGCCCGTTCGGCACACCCCTAACACGCTTCGTGGCCCCATAGGGAGCTCCACTCAAGACCCAAGTGGCGCCGCCCGCATGCGTCCCCGCCATAGGCTTCTCATGCGTTTCGTGGCCCCATAATGAGCTCAACCCAAGGCCCAATTTGTGCCGCCCTCATGCGCCCCGCCACATATTTCGGCACACCGTTCACACGTTTCGTGACCCCATGGGGAGCTCCGCCCAGGGCCACCATGGTGCCGCCCGCATGCGTTCCCAATGCCGGCACACTCCTTGCACGTTTCGTGGCCCCATGGAGAGCTCCACCCAAGGCCCAAGTGGTGCCGCCCTCATGCGCCCACGCCACCTATTTCGGCACACCCTTCACACGTTTCGTGGCCCCATAGGGAGCTCCATTCAAGGCCCCATTTGGTGCCGCCCGCACGCGTCCCCGCCACCCCATTTCGGCACACCGCTCACACGATTCGTGGCCTCATAGGGAGCTCCACCCAAGGCCCAACTGGTGCCGCCCGCATGCGTCCCCGCCACCCATTTCGGCACACCCCTCACGCGTTTCGTGGTCCCATATAGGGAGCTCCACCCAAGGCCAACTTGCCGCCCGCATGCGTCCCCGCCACCCATCTCGGCAGGCCCCTCACACATTTCGTGGCGCCATAGGGAGCTCCACCCAAGGCCCACATGGTGCCGCCCGCATGCGTCGCCACAACCCATCTCGGCACACCCCATCGCACATTTAGCGGCCGCGCAAGGTTTTCATCGAAGGCCCCATCGCACATGACGGCGTCCCAGTCACCATTTCGGCGCACCTCTCAGACGTTCCGTGGCCCCACAGGGAGCTGCACCCAAGGCCCTGATAGTGCCGCCTGCATGCGTCCCCGCCACCCGTTTCGGCACACCCGTCACACGTTTCGTAGCCCCATAGGGAGCTCCACCTAAGGCCCAACTGGTGCCGCCCACATGCGTCCCTGCCACCCGTTTCGGCACACCCCTCACACGTTTCGTGGTCCCATATAGGGAGCTCCACCCAAGGCCAAATTGCCGCCCGCATGCGCCCCCGCCACCCATCTCAGCGGCCCCTCACACACTTCGTGGCCCCATAGGGAGCTCTTCCCAAGGCCCACATGGTGCCGCCCGCATGCGTCGCCACAACCCACCTCGGCACACCCCATCGCACATTTCGCGGCCGCGCAAGCTTTTCATCGAAGGCCCCATCGCACACTTCGGCGCCCCAGTCACCATTGCGGCGCACCCCTCAGACGTTCCGTGGCCCCACAGGGAGCTGCACCCAAGGCCCACAGAGTGCCGCCCGCATGCGTCCCCGCCACCCGTTTCGGCGCACCCCCTCGCACGTTCGTGGCCCCATAGGGAGCTCCACCCGAGGCCACAGTGGTGCCGCCCGCTTGCGTCGCCGCCACCCATCTCGGCACACCGCTCACACGCTTCGTGGTCCCAGGGCGAGTTTCACCCAAGGCCCCACGTGGTGCCGTCAGCATGCGTCCCCGCCACCCATTTTGGCACACCCCTCGCACGTTTCATTTCTCAACAAGGAGCTTCACCGAAGGCTTAAGCGCCACCCTCCGCATTCTTCCCCGCCACCCATTGCAGCACACCCGTTAAACGCTCCGTGCCCCTGCGGGAAGCTCCACCGAAGGCTCCAGTGGCGACGTGTGCATGCGGTCCCCCCCAATGTCGGCACACCCTTCACACGCTTCATGGCCCCACTCAGAGCTCCACCCAATGTCCCAGTGACACCGTTCGCAGGTGTCCTTCCCGTCCATCCACTAACACGTTTCCCACGTCTCGTGGCCCCAGAGGCAGCTCCACCCAGGGCCCCATGTATTGAAGGCGGTATTCACAACGACGGTGCTCACTACCGCACATGCCAGAATGATTGTGGTCGGAGCGCGCCCCAGGAGGAGTCCGTGGGTTTGCGTTCGACCGCCGAGCCGGGGGCCGCCATGACGGAAAGGGGTGCTACGGGAAGCGGTTACAGGCAAGATGCTGGGATACGGAACAGTTTGGGTTCGGAAGGTTCTCGAGGTTCCTTAGGTCTTCCCGTGGCTGTTCCTCTAGCCCTCCTCGTGCACGCAGGCGCTTTGGGGGCCAAACAGATGCTTCATTCCTTATGCACCGTTCCTTGATTCAGCAGCCTGACTGCATGTTTTCTGCTGTTGTTTTTGTATTCGTTCTCGGGCTTCGGGGGCCCTCCCTGGGCCCCGGGACCAGGATTAGTTTTTCCGTCGCACCGCGGCAGAGGCAATCAGCACGCGCGTCTGTGCGAGACCGGGGCATAGCGTTGCGAATTTGCCCGCGTGCAAGAGGGGGGTGGAAGGCGAGAAGGTGGCCGCAGAGGGGGGGGCAAGGTACCGAGGGGGCGCCCTCACGCAGCGAGGCTTCAGCGGGTGCGTGGGCGCGGCCTTGCTGAGGGGAAAACCCTGGCAGCGGCTGCGGGTCGGCGTCGCAGTGCACCCTGGGAGGGGAGGGACCAGGATTAACAGTAGAACCTGGGGAAAACCCCCTTGGCCCACGGCCCGTTTCCCTTGGGACCCCCGTCGTTCGTGTCAGGAGGATGGGGAGGAAGACGAGGGGGGGAGTGCCGATGCCGAGGCATGCCCGAGGATGGAACCAGATAGGACGAGGGAGGATGGAGGGGGAGTGGGGAGGAGAAAAACGGGAAGGGGTGAAGAGAAGGGGGAGGGTTGGGGAGGACTGGGCCAGTGGGTGTGCTGAGGGTCTCCTGGTGGGCGGCTGTACTATTCACGCTGGCGGCCGATACACGGTCTACTCTTTGCATTCACATGAATGTCGGCTTGCGCGTATTTGCCATGGCTTGGGGGTCCCAGCTGTCCTCTGCGACAGAAGATGTGAGCAGCCTCTGCCTGCTTCAGGCACAGCGCCTTGAGATGGTGCCCGGCGTGGAGCACGCGGGGTCGAACCACAGGGGGATCGTGCTGTCGAGCTTGGATGTCGAGATGAGTCGCAGCACGGGTGGCACGTGGGACCAACGTCATGTGGCAGCAGCAGCAGTCGCACGGCAGTTCTCCATGGTCCGCGAGGACTTGCTGGAGGACTCTCGCTTCTGGTATCTCATGATCGTCATCATTTTCGCCATGAGTGCTGCGGTGGTCAGGACGGAGGTGACCAGCAAGGCCGATGATGGCCCAGCGGAGGCACAGAGTGAAGGCCTGGGGCTGCGGCTGCAGGTCGGCTGGACGGAAGCGAAGGGGCATCCGACAGAGGGTTCTTGAAACTGAGTGTTTCCAGCAGTGAGTCGGCCGGCGGTCTGAGGTGGCCCAGCATTGGTTCCGACCAGGTTGGCCCAGCGGTCGAGGTGGCCCAGCATTGGGCGAGGCTCGAGGTTCTGGATTCGATTTTTTTCTGTTCTGTGTTTTTCTGACATCCGGGCTCGAGTTCGGGCCCCGAGACAATCAAAAACAGATCTGGGGTGGAAAACTGCAGGAGATGGACCCCGGGAGGGGTCTGGGGACTGCTTTTGAGCGAACTTGCTCGTACCCCCCAGTCTTGACCGAGAAGGTGCCTATCCAGCTCTGACCCCTTGGCCGACTCCAATGTCCAGCGCTTGAGGGCACTCTGGAGCAACTCGCCTGCCCCCCCCCCCAAGGCCCATTGCCCCCTCGTTGATGTTCACCCCGAAAGGCTGGCAAGGACAAGCCAGAGGATGCCTCCTCAGGAACGGCGGAGGTGATCGCTTCGGCCACGTCGCCCCGCTCATCATCGGAGAATCGGCCTAGTCGGGAAGGGTCAGAGTCTGGAGACGCGCACGGAGAGCGCGACATCGACAGACAGGTGGGCAAGCAAGTCTTGTTGCTTCTTTATTGTGTCGTGGGTCTCAACCTGTCAATGATATCCACTGGCGTTCCTGCGCACACCCGCCATCCTGCTTGACGAAGCCGTGCAGCGACTCCGTAGCATGGCACGGGTCTGCACCATTGCCGGTGTCAGTTTCGACGGTGACCACCAAGACGTTGAAATAAGGGCCACTTTGGGCTCAGGAGGTGCTTTGCATTTTCCCAACCATCCAATTGTTTTGCAGAGACAGTCCCCGCATCTCATTCTCCTTCTCCTCCTCTCCCTCCTCCCCCTCCTCCCTGTCTCTGCCCTCAGCACTAGTCAACAATTTCGGCACACCCCTCGCACGTTTTGTGGCCCCATAGGGAGCTCCACCCAAGGCCCAAATGGTGCCGCCCGCATGCGGTCCCTCACCCAGTTCGGCACACCCGTCATGCGGTTCGTGACCTACATGGAGCTCCACCCAAGGCCCAAATGGTGCCGCCCGTATGCGGCCCCGCACCAATTTCGGCACACCGCTCACACGCTTCGTCGCCCCATAATGAGGTCCACCCAAGGCCACAATGGGGCCGCCCGCATGCGGTCCCGCACCCATTTAGACACGGCCCCTCGTACGGTTCGTGGCCCCACAAGGAGCTCCACCCAAGGCCCAAATTCTGCCGCCCGCATTCTATCCCGTATTTATTTCGGCACACCCATCACATGCTTCGTGGCCCCATGGGGAGCTCCACCCAAGGCCAAAATGGTGCCGCCTGCATGCGCCCCCGCCGTTCGGCACACCCCTCAAACGTCTCGCGACCCCATAATTAGGGAGGTCCACCCAGGGCCACAATGGGGCCGCCCGCATGCGGTCCCCGCCACCCATTCCGGCATACCCCTCACACGTTTCGAGGCCCCACAGGGAGCTCCATCCAGGGCCCAAATTCTGCCGCCCGCGCGCGGTGCCGCACCCATTTCCGGCACACCCGTCACACGCCTCGTGGCCCCACGGCGAGCTTCTTCAACCAAGGCCCAGATGGTGCCGCCCGCATGCGGCCCCGCACCAATTTTGGCACGCCCCTCAAACGCTTCTTGGCCCCATAGGGAGCTCCGCCCAGCCCCAAAGTGTTGCCGCCCGCACACAGTCCCCGCCACCCATGTTGGCACACCCTTCACACGCTGCGTGGCCCCATGGAGAGCGCCACCCAAGGCCACGACGGTGCTGCCCGCACGCGGTCCCGCACCCGCCGTTCGGCACACCCCTCACACGTATTGTGGCCCCATTGGATGCACCACCCAAGGCCCAAATAGTGCCGCCTGCATGCGGTCCCGCACCCATTGCGGCACACCCTCACAGGTTTCGAGGCCTCATGGGGAGCTCCACCCAAGGCCCAAGCGGTGCCGCCTGCATACGGTCCCGCACCCACTTCGGCACTCCTTTCACACGCTTCGTGCCCCCAAAGGGATCTCCACCCAAGGCCAAAATGGTGCCGCCCGCATGCGGTCCCGCACCCAGATCGGCACACCCCTCACTCGTTTCGTGCACCCAAGGCCAAAATGGTGCCGCCCGCATGCGGTCCCGCATCAATTTTCGGCACACCCCTCACACGTCTTGTGGCCCCGTAGCGATCTCCACCCAAGGCCCAAATAGTGCCGCCCGCATGAGGTCCCGCATTCATGTTGGAAGACCCAAACGGTGCCGCCCGCATGCGGTCCCGCACTCATTTCGGCACACCCCTCACATGTTATCTGGCCCCATAATAGCGAGCCCCACTCAAGGCCCAAATCGTGCCGCCCGCACGCGTCTCCGCCGCTCATTTCGGCACACCCCTCACGCGGTTCTTGGCCTCGGGGCCCCATAGGGAGCTCCGGCCAAGGCCCATATGGTGCCGCCCGCGTGTGTCCACGCCGCGCATCTCGGCACGACCGTCACACGTGGCGTGGCCCCACAGGGAGCTCCACCCAAGGCCCACATGGTGCTGCCCGCAGGCGGCCCCCGCCGCCCATCTCGGCGCACGCCTCACGCGCTCCGTGTCCGCATGGGGAGCTCCGCCCAAGGCCGCACACGCCGCACACGCTCTGTGGCCCCATGGGGAGCTCCACCCGAGGCCCACACGGCGCCGCCCGCATGCGGTCCCGCCACCCACTTCGGCACACCCCTCACGCGTCGCATACCCCCAGGGGGGACATCACCGAAGGACCCAGTCGCGCAGCCTGCGTGTGCCTGCCCCACCCTTTGTCGGTATACACGTTGTGCATGTCTAATTGTTCGAAAGTTCTTCGATTTTTTTTGGACCAAGATTCTTTCATTTCTAATTGTTCTATCCTGGGCCTTTTCCTGGCCACTGGGGGGCCAGGAACAATTCGAAACGAGCACAATTAGACATGAGCACGGTTAGAAACGAACGACGTGCACCCCTCACACGTTTCATGGCCCCAGAGGGAGCTTCACTGAAGGCGAGACTCACAACGACGGCACTCGCAGCTGCACATGCTTGGGTCCTTCGCCATGCCGATTTCGCCCGTGCGTTAGATCTCAGTCGGGCCACCCCTTCTGGGCCGAGGCCGGCTGTGGCCAGAGAAGCCCCTTTTCTTTCCCTGTTCCGCGTTCTGTGTGGTAGCACGACGGCTGCACGAAAGCAGCTCGGCCCTACACACGCCTACCGCGCAAGAGGCGCGGCCATGGATTCTGGGGCATCGCGCAGGAGTACATCGCGACGGCGAAATATGGGGAGGAGTCCGCACCTCCGATGACGTTCCTTGTGTTCTGCAATCGCGTGGTCACGTCGTTGTTTGCTTTGCTGATTTTGAAGTTGCGTGGTGGGGACGCGCACTTCCCTGGATTTCTTTGGAGTTCGGGTCCTGCTTTCACCAATTGCATCGCATCCTGGTGTCAGTACGAGAGCTTGAAGTACGCCCCGTTTACCTTTGTAGTAATGGCAAAATCCAGCAAGCTGTTCCCTGTGCTAATAATCGGCTCTCTCAGGGGCAAGCGGCACACTCTTCTCGATTACACTGAATCAGTTGTGATAGTAGCTGCTCTTGTCGTTTTCAGTCTGAGCTTATATGGCACTCCGGCTGACAGTGTTTCGCTGCTCGGCGCATTCTTGGTAGGTCTCTGCGTCCTGTTCGACTCGCTGACGCCTCACCTGCAGGACGCCATCTTCGTGAACTATAAGAAAGTGGATGCTGTCCAGGCGACATATGCCATGTCTTTGATGGCAGTCGGCGGCCTTCTACTTGTCCTGCTGGTGACAAACGATCTGGTGCAGTCGGTGGCCTTCCTTCACGCCCGACCGATCGCACTGCTTCACCTGGGTGTGCTGTCGTTGTCATCATGCCTTTCGCAATATCTCATCTCCTTCACAGTCAAGCACTTCGGGCCCACGGTATTCACGATAATCATTGTCACGCGGCAGGTGCTTGCGACATTTTGCTCGACAACTCTCTTCGAGCACAATTCGTCGACGTTGATGTGGGTGGCGGTGTTCACCATTGCCGGGACTGTCACCATCAGGTCTGTGCGGCACATTAGTGTTCCCGAGGCGTCAAGAGAAGGGAGTACAGGGTCGATCGTAGAATTGGTTGAAGGCAAAGTCTCCAGAATCGGACCCCTGCTGGTTTGTGCTCTGGTGATCCACGTCGTTTACATACTGTATGCACTAGTGGAGGAGTTTTTGACTTTGCGGTACTTCGGTGGACTGCCAGAGGATGGAGGCGAGCTTTTCCAGTACCCAGCGTTCAACGTAGTGGTGAACCATGCCTGCGGCACCTTGCTGGCGATTTTCGCGCTACGAGTGCGGGGTGTGCCCGCTTTCGGGCCGCACTTGAAGATGACGCTGATACCTCTCAGCTCAGACTACGCCTCCACCTTATTGCAGCACGTCTGCGCATACATGATATATTATCCGACGCTGGTCCTCATGAAGGGCTTTAAGGTCCTCCCGGTCATGCTCCTGGGTCTCGTGCTGAGAAACCGGCGTTACACCACCTTGGACTATTTCGAGGGAGTTCTGATATCGGTTCTTGTCGGAATCTTCGTCTGGGACTTCCAGGTGCAGCAGGGCGAAAGTTTTATTGGTCAGAGTTCCCTGGGCATTCTCCTCATGCTGATTTGTGTTGTGATGCAGTCGTTGACAAGCTGCCTCGAAGATTACGCCTATCAACTTGCGAATATGGATGCCGCGCAGATGCTCTTTGGCTTGGAAATGATGTCAACCGCAGTCGGCGTGTGCTACCTAGCCGTGACCAGACAAGTATCAAGTCCAATAGAATTCCTCATGAGGTACCCTGAGAGTTTGTTGTATGTGATGGTGGAGGCAGTCGCGTCGGCAGTAGGAGCCTACGCCTGTACCTTGACGGTGCGGCTCTATGGCCCTGCAGTGTTCACCCTGCTGATGACGTCTCGTCAGTGCGTCAGCCTTGTCCTTTCCGTGCTGGTCTTCTCCCACTCGCTCGACACAGCGGAAACCGCCCTTTTGGTGGTGGTTATCTTGGTGCTCCTCGCGGCCTCTCTGCGGCGAGTGGCCTGCCACGTCGGACAGGGCGCTCCCGAGGCCCTGCTGGGCCTGCGCGATGAGCTCAGCAAGGGCTGCACGGGCAGTACCACTGCTTTTCAAGGCAGCGACAGGGGCAACGCATTCGCCCCTGCGGCCAGGCTTCTGTCCCGAGAAGGCCCGCGAGCACCAGGCGGCTAGGATGTTGGCACAGCTCCTTCTCTGGGGCCGAGCATGTATCGCTTGGCTTCGGACAGAATTAGAGCGCCGCATCCAGGCCGGCAGCTGCCCGCAGAGAGTTATCCAGGTGCCTGCGGCGGATCCGCCACCGCGTCAGCGAAGAGCTCTGGTTGGCGACCGTTCGAGCGCCGCCCAGAAGGCCGTCACGTGTGACACCGCTCGCATCCACTTCTGGAGTGGTTTTCATGGGGTTTGTATTTGGGCCTTCTTGGGCTCTTGGGGCTCCTGTGGGCAGTCTTGACGGTCCCATGGGGCCCTCTTCGGTCGTCTTGGGACCCTCTCGGGCAGTCTCGGGCCCCTCTTGGGCCAGCTTGGCGCCATTTCGGCCGTCTTGGAGTTCTCTTGGGCCCACCTTGTGGCCCTCTTGGGCCTTCTGGGGCCTTCTCAGGCTGTCTCGTGTCCTAGTGGCCCTCTTGGGCCGGGGCTTTCTCGGGGCCGTTTTGTAGCGTCTGGTGGCCCTTGGGGGCTCTCAATTGGCCCTTTTGGGCTTGCGGAGGAATGCAACTGGAGCGATAGTCGACAGAATAGCGTGGAATGCGAGCAGCATGTGACAAGCCCGAGGAAAACAGTGTGTTTGGCCTCCCCAGGCCTTGCTGGAGCGCGTCTTGTGGGTGACCTGCGTGGGCCGTCCTGGAAGCCACTGGGCAAACCAAGGAGGCGCAGGGGTGCCCAGGAACCCTGGGGAAGGAGGGGCGATGCATGCAGCACTGCTGGACAAGAGGGGGGGGAAGCGGCTCGGAATGATACACGAACGTTGCAAGACGGCACTTGACATCACACCACGCCTCAGCGCGCCAGGGGGCACTGGCGGATGCCTCACAGGAGCGACGCCGTCGCTTCCGTGCACGACGCCGGCGAAGCGCGCATGTTCTAGCAACGGTTCGTGTCCCTAGCGCACGCACATCGTGTTGGCCGATGCTCAGTTCTCTGCTTAGCAGAGGTTCGAGGGAGAGGTGATGGAGTTGCTGGTGGGGGGGGGGGAGGAGGGAAAGCTAGCGCTGCAGCTGCTGTGGCGCGGCAAGCGGCAAGCTCAGTACGACAGGCTCTTCGCCCTGGCGATCGATTGTAAGTTTGTCGCCACTGATCTGCTGCATTCAACTTGTTGGGCTTGTTCACTTGGAACAAAAACGTCGTACAATTCTTCTGCTCTGGCCCAGCACAAGAGCACGGAATGTAGGGCGGCTGATGGTCTACTCTGGCTCGTGTCGAGGCCACGTTGAGGCCTCGAGCCGAGTGCTTGACCATCCACCTGCCGCAATTCCAGCGTACGCCTGAGCGTTTTCTGACCCACGCGGATGCCGCACGAGGCCCAGAGGAGGGGCTCGGCATCCACCTGGGAGTGATCCCCGCACAGCCGCTTGGGCCAGCGTCGAGGCCGTGGTGGGGCCCCGGTGGGGCCCGGCCCTGTCCCCGGGGGATCCAACACCAGCCAGGCTCGGGACTCAAGAAACGGGGGTCAATGCAAACAGGGGTCAGCCAGGGCACCGGATCCTGCAGGATCCTGCGAAAACCCCCTCTGGCTGACCCGGGTTAGCGAGCCGCTCGTGGCCGCGAGGCGGCCGCGCATATTGGCTGACCCGGATTTGCGCAGACCTGCATTGCAGTTTTTGTTTTCCTGCATTGCCGTTTTTTGGTTTCCTGCTGACCCGGGTCTGGATTGACCCGGGCCAGAAGATTCTCGACTGGCGTCTTTTCCGAAGGGGCAAGAAGGGTTCACAGTTCTTGTTGAGGCCCTTGTGGCGGCCAGGCCGACTGGGCATCAGAATGCCTGGTGGCTGTCGGCCCCTCCCGCCACAGAGCTGTGGTGGCCACCTCCCAGGGGCCTCTTCGCGTGTCAGGGGAGGCCTGGTGGATGCTTCGTCGGGGCCTCCTGGGGGCCGGCCTCTTACATCCCCGTGAAAAAATGTGAGGGGCACAGGGATGGAAACTGAAACGTTGTTGAATCTGACCAGGCGGAGCCCGTCGCGTCAAATGACAACCGCATGTCAATGTTGCGGAAAAAAATCTCGTCTGCATTGCGCGGTGCATGTTAGCCATCCGACTGGGAACGACGTCGCAAGGCAGAACGTGAAACCACCCACGCCACCGGCCCTGTGAAGGATTTATTTGGAAGAGCTCCCGGGCATTATGTGGCATCCGCCTCCCAACGTATGGCATATCAATAACCTGGCCCATGGTGGACGCCTGCGCGCGCTGCCAGCATTGAAAGGCGAACATCACTCAATGATCCTCTTTGGGCGTTGCCGTCTGCAGATCGTTGAAAATCATCGTCTTGTTGATTTTGTTATAATTTGTTCCCGGCTTCGTGGATGTCGAACCTGTTCGGGCGTGCTCCAGCGTTCTGGCGGCTATTGCTCTATAGCGTCAGCGACCTCTGCCGGTCGGACAGATGGAATGGGAAGCGCGCGGTCCCTGACAACCAACATGATACCCCGGCGGTTGCCGCGGTCTGTCGTGGCTTCCCTGGGAGGGTGGGGGGGGGGAACGCGAGGGAAAAGAACATAAAGATGCGAAGAAGAAGGAACACGAGGAGTGGGGAGGAACAGGAGGATCAGAAGGAGGAGGCGAGTGAGGATGCTGATGATATCTCGGTGGAGGAGCGAGAGCCAAGCAGTGGCCGGCGATGCGGCGAGAACGCATGTCCTCATCATCGTGGTCGCCGTGGTCGCCGTCGTCGTGGCGGTCGTCGTCGTCGTCGTCGTCGTGGTCGTCATCGTCGTCGACGTCGCCGTAGTCGTCGTCGTCGTCGTCGTCGTCGTCGTCCGCCGTTCGTGGCAACGACGGCTGCTCTCTGGGCCCTGGGTCCAGGACCCGCCCGCCGTTGTCGGACGCAACTCCCTATTGGGCGGGAGCAGGCTCACTGTGAAACTTCATTCATGGCGGTAACTTTCCGATATCTCGCGAACCAACTCAACGATTGGACGCGGGCGGGTTCATCGTGTAAATTCATCTACGGGACGCACTTGGCGCTGCCTGGGGACACCACTGAGCGATGGGGCGGTGGCAGGTTTACTATGTGAACTCACACACGGGACGCACTTCGCGAAAAAGGGCGCGCCCCGGCGCGCCCACTTTACGACCTGGTTGTTCCGCGCTTCGTGTATGAAAAAAGAGAACGGGGAGTATCAATCGTAACGTGGAACCGGTGGAATCTTAAAAAGAAATAGTTCTACTTTGTGTTTTTTGCAACAATCATTTCCCACTTTACGGCGGGCGCTTCCCGTCTTCTTTTCCCACGCGCCAAACGCGGAACAAAAACAAAATGGTAAAGTGGGCGCGCCGCGGCACGCGAAACGCGTTATAAGTAGGACACTAAACCCGCACCCGCTCGATCGTTCATTGGGATTGCTGGGCAACCTGAACTGCACCCCGCGCGTGAAACTACATGATAGAACCCCCCCTTCCGCCGGAGCGTCGACGCGGTTCGTTGAACAACGCCCCGCAGGTCCCGGAGGTCTCGTCCGGCGCGCAGGCCCCCCGGGCCTCGCAGGTCGCACAAGTTTCCCATCGTGGGCCCCCAGACGGGGTGGTGACCACGCCGTGTGGTGAGTCGGTGGGGGTTCGGGGTCACCGCACGGTTTTGGGGCTGGGGTCGTTCTCCGAGGATGTCTCGGGCGGTTGGGGCCTCTATAGGGTCCCAAAGCCGTGCGGTGACGGGCCATGCGGTGAGGGCTTCGCGGATGTCGAGGTCGCCGCCGGGTCTGCCACCACACGGTTTTGGGACACCCAATCGCAGGCCCCGCAAGTCTCGCAGGTCTTACAGGCCTCGCAGGTCCCACAAGTCCCACAGGTGTCACAGGTCTCGCAGGCCCTCACAAGGCTGACGTTTCGCGCTGGCCCCACAGGTCTTACACGCCCCGCAGCTTCTCCCGCAGGTTTCGCAGGTCTCACGCGACGCGCAGGCCCCGCAGGTCCCGGAAGACCCACCGATCCTGCAACTCGCCCAGGCCCCGCATGTTTCGCAGGCCCCACGCGTCGCACATGTCCCAAAGGGGCGCAAGTGTCACGCGCCCCACAGGGCCCACGACGAGGCAGGCTAAAACACGAGAGCGAATCGCGCGGAAACCCAATACTTAGGCTGACGGGGGCGGGCTCAGTGTGAACATCCACTCACGGCGGCGAATTGCCGACGCCTGGCGAAACTACTCAACGATTGGACGCGGGCGGTCTGCCCGAGGGCCCCGCTTCACGAGCGGGCGGTGGCAGGTTTAGCGCGTGAAGCGGCAAGTGGCGCGAAATTGGGCGGGGGGCATCGATCGTGTAGTGTAGTGGAGTTGTTCGAATCATATTTTTCATAAAAAAGAAGCATTATATATACACACCAAACACATATTCTATCTTACGACGGGCGCATCCCGCCCTGTTTCCTCGCGCACCGAGCGCCGGGCCGCGCCGCTTTGCGCGAAGTGCGTTATCGGAGGTGAGGGGGTGAGATCGAAGTGGAACGGAGAGCCCCCCCACTGGGAAATCGATTTCGGTTTCGTGTTCGTGCGTGCCGTGCGGGCGAGGCGAAGCTGCGTGGGCGGGCGAGAGAAAGTCTCCTGTGGCTGAGGCGCGGCCGGACCAAATGTCTCCCTTCCGGGCGGCCGGGGGCCCGCGGTGTCCCGCCGGTGTCCCGCTGGTGTCCCGTGTGGCTGAGGCGCGGCCGGACCAAATGACTCCCGGGCGGCCAGGGGCCCGCGGTGTCCCGCCGGTGTCCTGTCGGTGCCCCGTCGGTGCCCCGATAATGATGATGTTGATGATGATCATGATGGTTGTGTTGATGGTGATGATGATGACGATGATGGTGTCCTGGTGATGATGATGATGATGATGATGATGATGATGATGATGATGTTGATGATGATGATGATGATGATGATGATGATGAGGATGATGATGATGATGATGATGAGATGACGATGATGCTGTTGTTCTGCCCGTTGTTGTTGATGATGATGTTGGTAATGCTGATGCTGGTTGCTGATGATGATTATGGTATCCCGATGATGATGATTATGACGGTGGTGATGATGATGGTGATGGTGATGGTGTACCGATGTACCGATGATGAGATTGATGATGATGTTGGTGATGATGATGCTGCTGATGATGATGGTGTCCCGATGATGTTGATGATGCTGTTGATGATGATGATGATGATAATGAGCTGATGATGATAATGGTGTCCCGATGTTGTTGA